CCAAATTTATTACGAACCTAGATAAGGAGTAAGAACAGCTATCTGTTTGGGCTTCGAATATCCATTCATATTAAAGTACTGTATTGCAAATAAATTATTAGTCGGGTAATTTTAAATTTCCATTTTTTATGCTTACTCTTATACTGTATGTGCAGAAAATCAATTGTTTGTTTGTATATGCACCTTTACCATCTCGACTATCATTTCAACCTCAAATCGGTTGGATTGTGATTTAAGAGCAAATTCGTTTTTCAGGAAATCTTCGGGTTTTTTGTGATTAATAAAGAACACGTTGCTTTTCACCCCACGAACATCAGGGTATGATGTATCTGGATGATCGATGAGTTCAGGATAGATTGTTTTTCTGACCAAATCAGCAATCTCGCTTCTCATACGTCGTTGAGTTAAAAGTCGAGTCGTCCTTATTTTCATGCAAGAATTGTTTCCGTACACGAGACGTTCAAACAGACTGACATCCAGACAATAATTTTTTCCAATATCAGAGTCGACGGATAGATCATACTGTCGAGAGAAATGAGCAAATTAATATAAACGCCCGGATATTATTTTGTGAATCAGCATACTCACCTCATCTACGCCAAATTTTTACATAGCATAATGTTAAAATTCGAAAGTAACATGATTCACATTTTGTTATAAAAAAAGAAAATATTTACAATTCTTTGGACGTAATTGATTATGATCTCCTATAAGGATGATATGCTGCACGGTTTGTGTTAGGCTACTTAGGATATGTGCTTCAAGGACTTCACCTAATAATGTACGATTAATTAGGTCAATAAAACGTGAAACTCGTTTAATTAGTTTAGGAACTAAGATAGCAAACCGGCTTCTTCGCAAATTAAGATTTTAGGTCCGACAGATCTAAGGTACAGCATGTATGTTTAATATCTTACCCTTTCAATTATAAAAAGACATGGAAAAAAAATTTTTTTTTTTTCTTTTTTTTACTTAATAAGATCATGATATTTTGCAGCACCACTTGTTGTCACTCCGATAACATCGCTTTCACGCAATACATCACGTCTACCTTAAATATTTGTAAATTCGTGAGTCTCGATGTGAATTTTCTCTCTCATAAATATATTAAGACGCAACGTACCTTCATCGTGTATTCTCTCAATTTTATCTCTCTGCCTATCATGCTTTTTTTTAAGTTTCTCCAGTTTTTCGATATTTTCCAAATAAATATTTTCTTTCCAAAAATCATGCAAGGTAACGCGTTCAGTTTTGGACATTTTCCAAACATCACAATCATCCTGATAAAAAGAATTAAGACGAATTATGGAAAAGTCATGGCAATGAATTACAAGTAAACTAATTTTAATTATTACCTTCAATTCCTCCAAACTCCTTTTACCTTTTGGAATCTCCCATGAACGAAGCCAACTTTGAAATCCACTATCTTTATTTGGATCCGAGCTTTCACCATCGCCGTCTGTATCTCTGGATTTTCCATCTTTCTCATTAAGTTTATTTGTCGATTTGAAAAGCGATCTCTTTATCTCTTGTGCTTTTGTTATGTCCCCTCCACGGATCCATTGTTCAAACGTCGACACCTTGCTTTTTTGTGTATTTTCATCAGTCAATTGCAATTCTTGATCTTCTAATAGTGCACACGAAATATTAGGGTTTCTGAGATTTTCGTAATGTTTGGGAAATTCTTCCCTCAAGTACGAATCGACCGATTTAGTACGCCAGTTAATCCATCTGTTGTGATAACTTTCTATTATTTCCTTCGCGTCATCTTCGATTTTCTCAAGTTCGTGGTATGAGTTCCTCAATCCACTAGATCTCCTGGTAGTAATCTCACGCATACGGCAAATCTCTTCAATCTGAAATTTTTTGATATTTCTAGATTTAGACCTTGAACCCATTCTCACAATATTCTTTATTTTATAATCCAAAAGGCCTATAAATTATATACAAGTTATTGCGTTCGTATTGTGAATAAATAAATAAATTCAAAATCGGGTAAGCCGATGATAAAATAAACAATCGATCGATTACGCACTTTGCAAAAATGAATCCAACGCGTGATTGGTGTAAGTGATTGTGAGAATTGGTCCCATTTTACTAGATCGATTATTTTTTTCTGCCAACAATACGCGCAAGATCTGAACACCGATATACGATTTCCCTGTCCCAGGAGGTCCTAGTGATCATAAATTCTGGCTTTAGTACTTAAGATAAGTCCCTTTGAACAATTTGACTACTAAGCTTTCCTCTACCTTCAATCAATGCAATCTCGCGAGTCAAAGCTGAGACGAGTGCTTGAGCTATTATTCAGAATGTTGTGATATAAAGAATCATCATTACCATAAAGATCAGGTACATCAAAAAATTATAAATTACGTACATTGAGTTTCATCAAGTTTGCTGTGATCTTTTAGGATTCTGACTGCGTTATCTTCAGACCTCGTGTCTCCGGTTTTCAAATATAACTTTTGGTTCTTATCGTTTAGTAGGACCGAAAGCTGTCGGAAAATATAAAATATGAATATAAAATGAAGATGCCGATTTGAAAAATTTACTATGTACATCATATTTAAAGTCGGGAGCCCTGGCATAGATCGGTGGACCAATATCCGTCATCATGACTTCATCTGTCTTTGGAGCAAGATATCTTTCGAAGGGAAACACTTCTGGTGGAGCTTTCTGCAGAGTTTTTAATATACTCTTAGAATTCTCGAAGAGAAGATCTGTCGACTCAACCATAAAACCATGTTTGACTATTCCATCCGAAACATTCTTTCTCGAAATATTCCAAATAGCAATTGAAAACACAGAAATATCGGCAAAGCATATGTCGATTTTTGCGTTTCTTTGTTCCTCTGATAGCATTTTCTCATCTCTCCTGGTGACCGTGCCAAAGAATAAGGAATACTCGGTAGAACAAGTAAGTTTGCGTTTATTGCTATCGATATCTTCATTTGGCCAGAGAAGGCAGACTAAATTTCCATGTTTGAGTTTTTTGGATTTATTCCAATATTCCTTACGTTCTTTCATTGTGTTTAGAATTTTGGGTGGAGTAAATGTGACCTGACAAGAAATCCCTTTATTCCTGTCGATAATGATATCCGAAAATTTTACTTTTGTGTAAACGCTCAAGTCACCATCTTTTACGTTTGTGTAAACGTTCAAGTCACCATCTTTTACGTTTGTGTAAACGTTCAAGTCACCA